GTTTTGAAACCTTGCCAAAAATGCTGCTAAATACAAATGGTTTTATGATCGTTTAACACTTCGCTTTCCTATTTTTTCTTAGAATTCAACCCTCGGTAAGAACAGAATTTGTTATTTCTCTATATACCAAAGGAATATCCTGTGTAATTTACATGGTCATTCTTAATTATTATTCATTAATATTTAAGTTGCAGCAACACCTAAAGACCAACAAGATCAGAGCCCCATTGTGCTAGGCACTGTACAAACATACAGCAAATGACAGTTTTTAAGATACTGATTTATCCAGGTGTGGATAGGGATGAATCACAACAAACTGTAATACTAGGATGATCCAAATGTGCAACCCTAGAAATCTGCCAATTTCTTTTTAATGAATGTAGGGTGATCCCACATATTTGATATAGCTTCCATAATTTCAACTTTAAGCGATGGAATATGGTCAAGTAGTTCGGTGCATGAGACTATGAGTCATGGACTTCGGGGTTCTATTCCTGAATCTGCCAATGATTCACTGAATCTGACTCTACTCCCCACTGAAATCAATGGCAAAGCTCCCATTATTCCCATCTTCAGTGGAAGTGTGATCAAAAGCTCTGCATCACCTTGACTATGTCACTCTGCTTCTCTGTGGCTCAGTTTACTTATTGTAAAAAAGGGTATAAAATATCTACCTTGTTCCCCGACTGTGTTACGCTTAATTACGGTTTGTAAAACACTTTTAAGATCCTTGAATAAAGCTTAGTACATGAGCAAAATACAGTTTTTAAAAGGAAGACAGTGTATTGTTGATTCATCAGCCAGACCTACTCGGACAATAGCACTAGGAAAGATGGGACCTTCCCCTATTCAGGACAATGAGAGGCTAACTTCAAAGTCAACCTGTGTCAAAATTTACTTCCAGCAAATGGACTGGATGTGTCTGACAGAACATCAAGACTTCTTTATTTGAATTAATGATCTGTTGGAAACTGACATTTTTAAGACTAGAAAAGCTATTTTAGGTGATTTAAACATTTATTAGCTCTATTATTTCTGTGAGCTCTGCACAATTGGACTCAAAGACTTTTTAGCAAAGGGGGTACAATAAATATTCCCAATACAGATTCTGCCAACTCTAAAATACACTGATTCAGCTCTCATCATAGGAGTCTTTCCAATGAGTCCAGTGGGAGCCAGATCAGGCTCATGCAAGAGATAGGGTGGTGTGGTATAAAGGTTTTATTGGCAGTTGTTTGTGATATGTGCATAACTTACACATTGGCTGTGCCACTCATAAGTAGTATGATCATCCCAAATTCATGCTAATAAGCCTTTATAATCACACTACACCCTGCAGAATTCCTGATTGACAGATACCTATATGGCATTGTTTTTAAAGCTTGTTTTGTCTAATGTTACGGTTCATGAAGCAAATTAAAAAATAGTGCCCACTGGAGTTCTTAGGACCCTACTGGCTCTGAAGTCCTAAGTATGTTAGTTGAGTCTTTCCACTGAATTGTGCTGAGAATAGTTTTATAAAATGCCTGTTGTTTTTTAAATGCTCAGTTAAACGTACACTTAGCTCAGGATTTAACAGATGTTTTTGTTAACATTATAGACTAATCCTTTTCCTGCAGGCTGTTGTAATAACTTTGCTACTAGAAGATAATAAAGAGCCTTTTTCTCCCCTACAGAGTTTACCTTTGGCTGACTCAGCCTGAACAGCTGCAATTTCCTTTATTTGCTTTGAAATGATTGCAACCCACTTGGGCTGAAGATATTTCTGCTCTTGAGAAACCAGTGTTTTTGGAGAAAAAAATGGGATGGGCAGTAGATTAGATAGCTACAACTACAAACAGGTAAATGGACTTTAAAAGCTAGTACTTCAAGTTGTAGCTTTTCTGACTGGTCTTACAAGTGCTTAATTTTTAGGACTTTGTAAAACTGTGGGTTTATTTTTCCACTTGAGGCACTTGGGCCAAGTTGAACTAAGGAAAGGAAGCCAATTGTAAAGTGTGACTGGCTAACAGACCAGGAATGATACATACTTTCAGAGACAGCAGCCTCCATAACGCTGTACAGCAGTTGGTTGAAGTGTTCCACTTTTGACTGAGGATGGAGAAAATAAAGATAATCATAAGTCACAGAATGTTCAGCCAAGCCAGGTGCTAGATCTGCTCAACAGTCCAGTGTTTAAAAATATTAACGAAACAAAAATGATTAGGGGTATGGAGCAGCTTCCGTATGAGGAGAGATTAATAACACTGAGACTTTTCAGCTTGGAAAAGAGACGACTCAGGGAGGGATACGATCGATAGAGGTCTATAAAATTATGACTAGTGTGGAGAAAGTAAATAAAGAAGTATAATTTACTCCTTCCCATAATACAAGAACTAGGGGTCACCAAATGAAATTAATAGGCAGCAGGTTTAAAACAAAAGGAAGTATTTCTTCACACAACACACAGTCAGCTTGTGGAACTCTTTGCCAGAGGGTGTTGTGAAGGCCAAGACTATAACAGGGTTCAAAAAGAAATAGATACATTTATGGAGGATGGATCCATCAATGGCTATTAGCCAGGATGGGCAGGGATGGTGTCCCTAGCCTCTGCATTCCAGAAGCTGGGAATGGGCGACAGGGGATGTTCTGTTCATTCCCTCTGGGGCATCTGGCATTGGTCACTGTTGGAAGACAGGATACTGGGCTAGATGGGCCTTTGGTCTAACCCAACTGGCCATTCTTAATCACACTTCAGAAAAATCAAAAGGGTTGAACATATTACAATTAATATGAGAAATCCCAGAGAAAAGTCATTCAAAACATTGAGTCACTGGGATAAAGTATATGAATAGGAGAAGTTAACAATGGATTCAAAGTGAGCTTAACACCTGGAAAAAGAAAGGCTTAAGCATTATAAACTATTACTGGCTAGACCTGAATTACATAGAGTCCTAGGACTGCTTTTGATATATTAGTCAGTGCACCGATTTCTGCCTGCTGCAACCTTTGCATATCTGACTGCAAGTATTATACAAACAGCACTGAGCTAAGTATTAAATTGTAAGATCTTTCCAATTCTGTGGTATCATTCTGAAGGCAGTTAAACTCTGAGATAGTTTTTATTGGGGTTTAACATCAAACAATTCTCAATAATTTACACCCATTTCCAGTAAAAAGGCTCGCGAGGGACGTATATATCCGTTTCCCACAAACTGTGGTTTAGAGAAGTCTGCCTTTTCAGTGCTTCTCTTTCTCTGGTGTATTTGGACAGCACCCTAATATCCTTCACCAGCCACAAAGAAAAACAAATCTCAGAATAAAACTCTAAGAGTGAAAAACTGAGCTCAACATTGATGCCTACTCTGTGCTGCTGTAAACTGAGCCCGCTTCCCTCTCCCAATTTTTCAAAAATATATTTGCCCTTCAAAGGTCCATTCCAGGAACGCTTACTCACAAAACTTCAGTGAGGCTATGTGCATGAGTAAAGATGTCAGGAACGGCGTACCATTTGAATCCACAATTAGTCAGTCCACTTTCAGCAGTCAGAAACACCTATGAAGTATGAAGAACAGTATCGAGATGTAAGGGCTGACAGACAAAAATTGACCTTGTAAGTTCCCATGATTACACAGATGTTTTAGCTTTAAAATATATAGAGCTATTTCCATATTTTTCTTACCAAAGAAAACTAAAACTTGTACAAGAAACATTTAATATCTTGAGAGATCCATCAGTTCTCATTATAAATTGGGAAAGCAAGCAAGTCTCTAAATTATAGAACAGTGCAGGCTCTTATAACTCTAATGGAGGTTATGCAGAGTCACCACAGTAAATCTAAATTTTCAGATGCTTTCATTAACTTTGGATGCCTCCATTTTTGAGTGCCCAACTGAGACACCTTAAAGGGGGATGATTTTCAGAGGTGCTGAACATGTAGAGGTCTGTATTAAATCATTGTCAGTATGGGAGAACTTCTAGGGTGACCAGATAGCAAGTGTGAAAAATCGGGGCAGGAGGTGGTGGGTAATAGGAGCCTATATAAGAAATAGCCCCAAATATCGGGACTGTCCCAATAAAATCAGGACATCTGGTCACCCTAAGAACTTCCTGTACTTAAAACCACAAGCTCCATTCAGAGGAGCATTGCCTGAAAACTTTCTCACGGGGAACACTCAACTCCCATCACCGCCCTTGTGTGCTTCAGGAGCGTAAGCAGGAGCATGAAGTGCTCCATCCACAAAAGCACTCACGAGACTGGTGGTGCGCTGGAGAAAGAGATCTGGTCAGACTGTGGTGAGGGGAATCACTGAAACAAGAAGAAACAAAGAGGGTGAGATTCGAGCCCTATGGCAAAATCCCCATTGACTATAATGGGGTCAGGATGTCATCCATGAGGTTGAGAGCAAAACAGAAGAGAGATACAGCAAGACATTATTTCCCCTGCATCCATACACTAAAATAGCGCCCAACCCCACAACATGCAAACTTCTCCAAGCCTTTGGAATGTATGTAGTTCCAGATCTTCTACATACCTCAGGCTCTGAACCCCTTATCATCCTCTCTGAACCTCAGCAAGTCAGGCCATGATTTGCCCCATCTCTCACACACCCTGTGGCACGGAGAAAGGCTCCAGCAGGGTCTGCGCCGACACAGAAAACTTCCCACAAACTGCTTCTCTGCCTAGTCCCCTCGGGACAGCTGGTGTCCCAACGTCCCTGCTCTCCGCGGCTAGGTGGCTCCCTTGCTCCCCAGCTGGTACCGTGATGACTCCTCCTGCCCCCCCTTACTCACAGCGGCTGGGTGCCCTGCCCTGCCTCACCGCCTGCAGCCGGATCCTTCCCTCGGCCCCTGCTGGCTACCGCCAGTCTCGCTCTCCTCCCACCTCCCCCTATTCTACGGGGCCCTGGATCCCCCAACTCCCCGGCTGGGGACGCTACGGCCCCTCTGTGCCCCCCCGACTCCATTCAGCCCCCTGGCCGGGCTCTCACGCTGGCTTTGCGATTGGTCGAGGTCCCCCAGAGGGGCGTGGTCAGAGCGGAATGCTGAGTCGGAGCGTTCCAGAACCGGACGGTCCTGTTCCGGCTTCCGCGCGCTGATTGGCTGAGCGCCTTCCCCTCCTCCGGAGGAGCAGCGAGGAATGCTGCGGTGCGTTCCAGGGCTGGGCGGTGCGGGCCGCGGGCAGCCGGAGCGCAGTAGCCCCGGGAGCGAGCGGGGATCTGCGGTGTCCGCGAAGCCCCTGGCGGCCGCGGGACGGGTCGAGAGGCAGGGGATCCGGCTGGGAAAAGCACAAGGTAAAACTCGCAGGGGCGGGGCGGGTTGCTCCAGCGCCGGACCGTGAGCACGGGGAGAGGCGTTCGCTGCCGGCGGCAGGACCCCAGCCCGCCTCAGCTCCCCGTGCCCCCAGCAGCTGGAGCGGAGTCACAAACAGCAGGAACTTTATCGCACCCCAGCTGACTTGCACGTGTCCCTGGCAGAGCCACGCCGGGGATCGCGCCTGGGCTGCATTTCACCTGGGAGCGCCCAGCGCCTAGATAGTGGGAAATAGGTAGCCGGGGTTAAGTCCGTGGAGCTGCGTTGTTGACATGGTTGTACTCACTGGCTCCCACTGGGAGTGGGATCGGGTCTATTTATACAGGTACTTCTCTAGTCCCAGTCACCCGAGAATCTGAGCACCTTCTAAACTTTAATACATTTTTTTTCTCACAACCTTGTGAGGTAGGTAAGTAGTATTATCCCCAAAGTACAGCGCTGGAACTGGCAGGGTCTGGCTCACCCTCTCTGTGATTCAGTGTTACACCCTGCACCACAAAAAAGTTCAGTTAAGTCAGTGAGACCGCTTGCATAGTAACTCGCTGTGAGTGAGGGTGACAGGACTGGGCCCTTAGAGCTTGGTACAAGGCCACGCAAAAATCTTCCCAGTCCAGTGTCACCCTTCCCCTGAGTCAGTTTAGAAATGTTTGGATTGAGCAACATGTTTGGAAATCTGTGCCCTACAAACATGAATGTTTACTACTGAACACATTAGTCATAAGATCCAGTAATATGAAGCACAGAGCACATTTTAAACACTGTTTAGCAGAGAAAATTCAGAACAGTAAATGCTCAAGAATCCTTCGGGGTATGATTTAGTCCAGCATTGCTCCTGGGACTTCCTTTGTTTCTTCTCACTATCCTTTAGACTGTAAACTCTTTGTATTTGTGTCTTCTACAACACTGAGCATGTTGTTGGTGCTTTACAAATTCTGAATCATAATAACAGTAGTAATAATCCTTCTATAATGCCTCTGTAATGTGATTGCACTGTTTCTAATCTCTTTTCTTAATGTATATGATTAGCAGTAATGTACTCATCTGTAAAATGGTATAGTAATACCTAATTCACATGTTTGTAAGGCACTTTAAGATCCTGGATTAACAAGAGCTATATATATGCTAAGTATTTACTATCTTTTTTTTTCTTTTGGAAAAATAGGCTTAGTCCCTCTAAAATACATGACCATGTTTCAGTATCAATTGCAAATTTTGTAACTTTTTGCCATTTAAGGAATTATGCATGATGCATTTTATGTGGTATTGTGACCTGCACAGACAGCTTTCAGGTGCCGGGAGAGCAGAGTCTGTGTGGAACTCAGGAAATCAGTATTATAACTGAACCAATATAGTTTGAAATGCTTTGATATGAAATCAGGAAACTGTTTAATTGCAACATCTAGAGTTATATTCTGATTTATTTTATTACTTTTTCACGTGCAGTTATGCCCCTGCATCTCTCTACTCTTGCAAATTGTGCACCTCTAGCAACTTAAGTGGTTTGTAATACCATCCTGGGGCATTTGTTTAATACCAAGATGAAAGAGAAGAGTGCTAACTACTGATTACTAGCAACACTTCCTGCAGCACCTTGGTGTTACATAGAGAAGATGCCTCAAAGAACTGATTAGATTTTTAAGGCCAGAAGGGACCATTAGATTGTCTAGTCTGATCTTTTGTATACCATAGGCCATAGAACTTTACCCAGTTACTCCTGTATTGAGCCTAATACACTTTAGTCAGACACAAGTTATGTTCTAGAAATGGATACAGGCTTGATTTGAAGATTTCAAGAAATGGAGAGAGATGCCACCCTTACCCCTTTATACCTTGTTCTAGCGGTTGATCACCTCACTGTTAAAAACATGTGCCTTATTTCTTATTTGAACTTGTCTGGCTTTAAGTTCCAGCCATTCATTTTTGATATGCCTTTCTCCACTAAGTTAGAGTCCTTTAGTCCCCAGTATTTTCTCCCCATGAAGGTATTTATACCTTCATCCGCTGAAGTCATATTAGCTAGTGACAAGATCACAGGCCAAGGTGGCCTGATTCCAGCTGGTGCTCTGTTGAAGGGTTCCAGAGGGAGACATGCCCAGATCTCTTTTATTGGAAGGATATCAATTATGACATGGAGGTTTCTGAATGGACAGTGGATGTGTGGTCATTCTCATGGACTCCACAGGGCACTTGGAGTATCCCCTGCCTGCACTCACAGCTGTTACAGCACAGAGGGGGAGGTGCCACTGCTGACGCTTCTACTTCTCCATAGGAAACCCACCAGGCCTCTGTGGTTAACACTTAAAGGTTGCATAAGTCATTTGTGTATATATAGCCTTGAAAAATGTGCTCAACATTTTAAACCAGAGTGAAAAATACCTGTGCTGCACTGTTCTGAGGCAGCATTCCCCAAAGCCATGCTCCCTTTCAGTTTAAAGGACTAAAACAGCTGTGCACTGTGTTTAATTGTCATGTTGTTAATGAACTATTTAATTTTTTAATATATAATTTACTACTCCAAATGATCGAATAGTGGAAACAAAGAGTTCAGTGTATTTTATTAACTAATATATATTAACCAGCTATAGAGCAAGTTGAATACCACAAAAAAGGTGTTTGTCAAATGCCAGGGAAACTAGAATAGTATGCAACCATCCCCACTTACTACACCTCTCTTGCTTTGGCTGTACCTTCATTCCGTTTCTTTCCTTTCCTTCCTTCTACAAATCTGTGTGTACACAATACTTCTCTCACATGGCTATTCCCATCAATTGCAGCAGGCTGAATTGGGCCCTGTTCTGTAACGAGAGAAAGTTTTTACTATTTGATGGCTGTTTGTAATGAGTTGATGGACTGGAGACCACATTACACAAACCCACCATCACAACTGGCACCTCTGTGTACGTATGTATGTATATGCATGCCCACATTTTACTGTTTATTGGTAAATATACTGTAGTGATTTAACTAGCTCCATAGCATTTATTTTAATAACTAATATTTCTCTGAGCCATTGTAACAAACTTGGATACAAGCAGAACAAAAATAACATTTTCTCAAATTAATAGTCTGGATCAGAAATTACATCCTGAGTTTTTAATTTGCTTGTTACTTTATTATTCCTAAATTATGGTGTCTCACTTCATTGGTGGGAGGAAAAAAATACAATATTGCATGTTCCCAGAAGTCTGTTTTATTTACCAGTAAAAAAAGCCCTACATTCATGCAGTGCCTTCCGTTTGTACAGAAAACTAAATAATATTTTAAATTAATCACAATGTTATTAAAGTAAAATTGGTTTTGCAGCCTGATGCGTAATCCATAAACCAACGGTAATTTACAGTTTATCTGAGAAGTATACACTCACTTTAATAAGCCGTTTATTCCTTGGGGAATAAGGTGGGAAGTTAACTTCTTTTATCTTTTTGAACTGATTAAATCAGAGCAAATTTTACCATAGAGGCAGAAATCCCTGGGTGGAATCGTGAGATACCAGGGATGTGTAATAAAACTGTTTGCCCATCTGACCCCATACTGGCAACACACTAACAAGCAGTGGTTTGGAGGATTTTTTTTCTTTCCTTGGGTAATTAATGGTTCTACTTTCAAAAAGTAACAGGTTAGGGTTCTGGGGTACAAGAATATAATCTCCAGATCCAAGTATGCCACTAGACTGGTATTTCCTTTAGTTTCTCTCTCATTTGGGAGTGGAAAGGGTGTTTACACCCAGTCTGCTTGTCCCATTGTTCTGGTGTAACAAAATTTGCAAGTGTTCTGTGCTGTGTAAGAGCCAAAATAAGCATGATAGTTTAAAAATTTTCCTAAATGATTTAGGAGCCTAAGTCCCACTGACTTGGAGTAAGGTGCTTATGAAAACTTTACCCTGTGTTTCTGGCAGTATATCCTTAATCTGGGGTTACATTGTCAGTTTATTTAGAAGTGTAGGAAGTATATAGAATTCTCCCTCTCTCTCTTTCCTTACCATCCATGCATTCCCACTCACTACGAAACTTTACCATTCTTCTAAAATAGAGGATTAACCTAAAAGTCACAGACTAATATGGAAGGTTGAGGTTCCACTGTCCAGGTCCAATGCCTAATGAGAAGCCAACCAACCCCTCAACATCTGGGAAAGAAGGGGGCATGGTGGGATTCTCACCAGGGCATTGTCCTGAACCCTGCTCCACCTTTCGAATTAGCTGCTAAACACACTACACATACTCAACCCTTCTTAAAGCACTTTATACCCTAATAGTCTCACAGAGCCCCTCTGAGAGAGCTAAGGCTTATTTTACCCATTGTACAGATAAGTAAAGTGGGAAAGAGAGGAGGCGATCACATGGTGAGTCAGTAGCAGAGCTGGGAATAGAACCCAGGAGTCAAGCTCTTATACTACCATGCAGTGAGATTGCCATAAGCAGGATCAAGAGTCTGTGTAAAAACTATCCAATTTTGCATTGATAATTCCAAAATTATCTGCAGTATTTTCTTATACCCTGAATTCCCCCACACCAGTCTGCCCTTGTTTCAATCTCTCCTCTATTATTTCTATTTCTCTTTTGGCTGTGTATCGTTGTGTCTCTCTTATCTCCTTTGTGCTCAAAGCTCCTCTCCTAAGGTTTTGTTTGTACGTGTCCAAAAGTAGGCAAGACTCCAGATCTGGAAAATCAGTGTACATGGCATTTATCCAAGGGCCATGCTGTGCCCTCTGTGCACAGTCGTTCTTCTGTTTAAACCTTTCATCCATTTATTGTGCAATGTCTGTGTAGGCAGGAGGGAGAACAATGTTTGCAGGTTTTAGACCCGTTGTAATGGGAAGTGCAGAAGTTAAATCCTGGCTTTGCCACGCCTGCAGGAAAACCGCCTCCGGCTGGAGGAGTCTCATCTGCTCCGACCAGCTAAGCGGTGACACTGAGACTGTCTCTCCATTCTCTCCAACACAAAGGGAAGACAGTTATTCCCATAATGCAACATTCAAAATATT